GTCCTAGGAGGTGAATTAGTGTTGCCAATAATTACCATGGACTCTCTAGATCCCCCCTCTATCGCAACCCGCTTTCCAGTAATCCCCTCACCTCCCACCACTTATCGCCCTTTCCTCACCTTGCTCGAAACCACCAAAGAGGCCCTCCCCTTGCCCAACGGCCGCCCCCCATGCCCCTTGGATCAGGAAGACTGCGAAGAGACCATTGAGGTATCGGCATACGGCTCTGGGGAGATGACCGAGTCAGATGATGAGGACTATAATAAAAACTCCCCCCTGGTCACTGATAGAACTGTCCTTCCACCTCCCCCGGCCGCCGATGGAGGTGTCCAGAACCCACGAGATCGCCATTTCTCCCGATTTCCCAACTCCCACAACCCACCTCAGTCCTCCACTCCTACAGCCAACCCTGACCAGCTCAGTCCTCGCATCAAATCGTCTGCCGGTGGCAGCAGCAGTAGCAACAATATCCCCGCTGGGAAAATGAATAACCGGGACCAGGTGCTGCTGCCGCCAGCGCACCCTTCGTCAGATCCAGGCCACCATAGAGTGCCGGGAATAACCTACCCCCCGAATTTTCCTCATGTTCCCACTCCAGATCCCACATCTCCCGAGAGAGGGCTCCCAGGCGCTGTGGAGGTGCAGCAGTCGAGCAGCACCACAGGAATGGTCGTCGGCATCGTGGCAGCGGCGGCACTATGTATCCTCATCTTGCTGTATGCCATGTACAAGTACCGAAACCGGGATGAGGGCTCATATCAGGTGGACCAGAGTCGCAACTACATCAGCAACTCAGCCACGCAGAGCAACGGAGCCTTGGTGAAGGAGAAACAGCCCAGCACTGCCAAGACAGTCACCAAGAACAAGAAGAACAAAGACAAAGAGTACTACGTCTGAGGGACCGCCTCCTCCCTTTCCCCTCCGACACACAGAGACAGACAGCGGATTCACTTAGAGAAGGAAAGAGACACAAGGGAGGAAGAAAGAGAGAGGGAGAGAGGCAGTATATATAAAATGTAAAACACAACATTAAACTCAGTATTGTCAGGTGATCATACATGTTACAGAATCTAGTTTCATTCAGAAGGAAGTGGCAACTGAAAAAGCAAGGCTGACGTAAATAATTTGTGGAGAGAAATTCAAGTGGTCCTCTGATCGAGTTGTTCATTTAGTTGTGGTTTTGGGCAAAAGTTGTTACACCTCAGATTCAAACACACAATGTGCCAACAGTCATGAAGCAAACGCTGATACCAGATATTTACGAATAACGGGCCATTTAATACCACGAGTACTGCAGAAAAGCGCCATCATCAGTATTTGTGTCAAGGTCTATAATTCATTCTGAGGCAACTTGTGGTGTAAGTCGTCACCTTAGACAGTATCAGCATATTATTTTTCCCAACCAGGCTTGAGTTAGCAACATGACATCCCTCTGTGAATCAATATACTGCCAGCTTACTGAAATCCAGCTTCTTTAACTCTGATTGAAGGGTCCTCTCTTTCTTCCTCCCCCAGCCTCGTGCGCTGTTTCTTTCCTTGTCTACAGTGATCAGCGGCTGATGCGACGTAAACTCAAGCATGTAGTATTCATTTATGAAAAAGAGATAAAAACTGTTATTCTTTCTGTGGAGTTTTAAAAAAGAGTTATACAATTGATGATCATACCAACGTTTAACGTAGCAACTATGTGAGACACCTCCGCTCCAAGCTAACGGACGCTAACTTGTACGTTTAGCTGCCAAAAAACTTGTTGAGGCCAAAACCTCTCGGTCGTCCTTATGTCCCAGCAGATCTGTGTCATGTATTTCTAGGGCTCCGAGGTCGCCTTTCATTGGGCCGGCAGAGAAACTGTCTTTGTCCTACACGTACTAATAACAGAAAAACAAAGAAGAACCTCCAGCAAATTAAACAAACTCTGTTCCACATAATTATAAATATATGTATAGACGTTGCAGAAACCCAAGGACCTACAATGTGTTCAAATGGGAACAAGAGCGTTCATTGATGATACACAGAAAAGACGGTCTTCAAGCTGAGGGACGTCAGAGCAGATTCACCTCCTCAATGCCCCTTGAATCCCCTTCAGTTTCATGACCAAGAACAACTGATGCAATGCCTTGCTGCAAGACTCAGTCACTTCAGTTTGTTCTTTTGAAATTTTTTTTTTTCTCATTTTGTTTTTTTCCCCCCTCTGGAGAAAAGAGAGACAGCAGAAATTCTACATTTGCTGGAGATGCTGGAATTGGAATGAGAAGTCTTGCAGTTGAAATAGTGACTTTGTCTTTTGCCCGTCTCTGGCCGGACTGGACTGACGGCAGCCGATGGGCCGAGGAAACTTTATAGAAAGAGCACACAAATAGAGAGGTGAACAGGAGTTCCCTGGAAGATGTACAACAGAACTCTAGTATTCAAATTTTCTCAGCGCTATTAAAAAAAACAAAAGAAATCTATCATGAAAAGAGAAGAAAAATACAAGAAAAAGTTTGTGAAATGTCTAAATATTTGACTCCCATCCCATCACTAAGACAAATGTGTTTTCCCTCCCATCATTCCTGTTTGGAGAAGATAATGTCTATGATTCTGGGAAACTGAAATTTTTATGTGTTTTCTTTTGTCATTGGAGAAAAACAAAACACATATTCTCATTTTCCATTGAGAAACAATTTATTGTTTTTTAAATTTGTTTCTCATCCACGTTTTTTTTTTTTAAATCCCTCATCTACAGATTTTTCTCTCTGGCAGATTGTACGTCCTTATACTGGGTGGAAGAAATAGGCTTCACCCAGTCTCTCTCTCTATTTTTTTTTATATATATCTGTTCTCTTTCTATCTATATAAATATGGTGATAGAGACAAGATGGCAGCCATTTCATTTGACAGGCCTCATTGATTCACTCTCCTCCGGCCATGTTTGTCTGGTTTCTCTCTCATTCTCCATTCCAAACATACTCCTCCCAGTATCTTCTTGATCTTTCTAAATGTTATTGTAAAGTGTTCCAGTGAGATGACTCTAAATATGTGTACATTAACAGAGGGAATACACTTGGTTATATACTTCTTACTCACTGTGTCACGTGGTCTTTTTGTGGCCTTTCCTGCTGTAAAAAGGTGTGTTCTTCACTGGGTGCCAAGAACCACGTTGACCGATAGTGCAGTGACTGAAGGTGTGAACTATAGACCGCTGTTGGTTTCAGGTTGTTTCAGTTAAAAACCAAAAAAATAATAATGATAACACTGTAATATACTCTGGCGTTTCCCAATACTTTTGAACCCACGGCACATATTCTATAGATAGAAATTATAGATAGAAAAAACCTGCAGTGCAACACCAAAAAAGATTTCACAAAATGTAAATGTAATGGAATTTAATGATCTTATTGTTTTGGTTTACTTACAATTCACTTATTCAGTATGAAACCTGGGCCTATGCAGTTGAACACAATAGCAAAATACTCGCAGGAATTGAAGCAAGAAACACGCAAAGATATCCTTCAACAGCTTTCAGTTTTTGTAGCCATGACAAGCCAACTATTGAAAGAATATTTATCGCATTGACCAAATGAGACAAAATATTTCATACCAGTGAAGTGAGATTGGATCATTTTTCCGTCGCACGCTAATATGCCACGGCACAATAGCTGGGAATCGCTGATATATTTTATTCTTCAGACATTATGTAGCTATTTATAAGACTCCTAAAGGTAAAGGTAACGTAAGTGGCATGAGGGCAGAACTAGAGGCCTGAGGTGATGACACTGCAGCAAATAAAAGTCCCATGTGCATTGACTCTAGTAAAATACACATACGTTGGTTTAAATATTATCACCAGTCTGAGGTAACTGAAAATTCTAATTCATTCAAACTGATCTGATAAGGTTCCATTACAAGGTAAAACATGTCACACAGTAACACTCCGAACTTCTCAACTTCAGACAAAATCCACTTTGTAATGTGTCTGCCTATTAGCAGCATGTGGTAATATCTGTGTAAACGACACGAGTGAGAAAGCGATTACAGACTCAAAGCTCAGCCTGGCTGTACACAGGACTCTTCCACTTCAACTCCTGTTATAAAACCAATGAGTCTTCGCTTTGTACACAGGCATTTAAGTGGCCGCTTAAAACTTGCTTGCTAAACAACCGACATAAACCAAGGTGCACATTAAACAAGCAGACACTTAAGTCGTATTTTCCTTTGTATCACCTGTAGTAGAATTTTAAATCTCCAGAGTTCCTGAAAATGTCTGAAATTTTGCAAAAAGCCATTTTCTTGTGTTCCTCTCTATCAAGATACTCTTTTCTTCAAAGATCATACACATCAAACTCTGCGTAATTCTGCACTGCGTGACAAACCACGATTCTTTGGTAACATTTCCAACTTCTTGTGGTAATAACAGAAATAATAACTTGGAGCTATGCAAATAATATATTTTTTTTTTACCTTCATGTTTTTTTGAGTTCCCACTCAGAAAAACAGCCCGCAGGTAAGATTAGCACTGACAGTGGTGTATAAATAAAATAAGCAAAATCATGTTATCTTAAAAAGGAAAGAATATCAAGTGGTAACATGAGAAATATTGTGACAAACCTCAGATAAAAAAAGTATATTTGCTATTTCATGACGAGTAGTGAAGGAGATGCAGAGATCAGGGACGTGGCCGACTACCTGCTATGAAAGACAACTGTAGAAACCACACATTATATTAAGACAATTTTGAAAATGGTAGAAAAAGTATCTGCACCTAAGGGTAGTTTGACATTTTAAAAACACCCGTTACTTTGCTGCTATCCCTTCAAGGCTTTTTCATTGTACTGCGATATTCCAGATAATTTCTGATAACTCTACCACACTTCAGTCTTTAAGGGTGTTCACAGATGAGACACCTTTTAATGACACTTATTGGAATTATTTTCCAATATATTTATCATGAGTGGCGCTTTGGCCCAGAGGCAATGTCTCTGTCATTGGTGTGGTACCCCAGGGTTCACCTCTGGGGCAAGATCGAATACCGGTTTGGGCGGTTGGTACCTTCCAGTGGACTTACCACTTGCAGAAAGGTTCAGGGGGGTTGGTACGGTGCAGTGTGATCCGGGTGGCGGTCACGGTGACTGCTGCCCCCGCGACCCGGTAACGGATAAGCGGATGCAAATGGATGGATGGATGGACTTATCATCAATGTTCATACCATAATACAGAGTATTCTGTTCACATCATTTATTATCTCTCTTGGCTTTTGCTCTTGGTTGCGATCTTTGCTTGGTGATCACAGTCACACTCAGTCCTTTGAACCTTATCTTCTTTGATTGCTTCCTTGTTCTTAATGATGGTACAAATCGATGACTTTGCTAAGCCATACTGTAAAGCCAGATCTGGAACATGAACGCCATTCTCATGCTTTCCTATAATCTTTTTCTATCCCATGTTGATTTATGAAATTAAAAAAAGAAAGAAACAGGGAAAAAAAACCCCAGCAAAACCAGACAGCAGTTCTTAGCGTGTATATCCCAAGCACAGGCTGAGGCAAGACTGATGTCACACATGCAGTCACTCAGTGATCACTTGCTGCTAGCTTTTGCTTAGTCACTCAGTGATCACTTGCTGCTCGCTTTTGCTCTTTCCTTTATTGTGACATTTTTACCACTGTACTATACTGTAGGACCTTATTCCCTGCTGTACAATAATCGCTTAATGTACATTCTGTTTCATATTTTATTTTACAATGACATCGCTGTACTTTTACTTTTAGGTGTTGATCATATTTTTATAGTGGCATATTTTATACATCGTACCATACGGTGGCATCTCAAGGACTGCAACTGTTCTTTGAGGTTAAGTTGGTACGGACACCAGGTTGCACTTGATCCTGCTGAGCCCATTAATGTTGTGAATCCAAGTCTTAAATTTCTTCTCCTTCACTGCATTTGGCAAAGATATTAGTTCCTGGTACCGTTCTCACCGCCGCTGGGAAACGTTAAGTCCTTTCTGTCCTTCACTCCACTGAATGAGTTGGTTACCTGTTCTTTCCTAAGGGCAAAGGAGACCACACTGTGGAAGGAGTGCTTACAAAAGGTCAGCATCACTTCATCCATTAAAAAGTGAACCGTATATATTTTCCACTGCAGGTCAGAGTTTCCAAAAAAAGTTAGGAAAGACATAAGGGTGGTCTGTAATCTGTGACCACATCAAAAATACGTATTATAATACACAGAAATACATATTGAAGTAAATAAACATACATACTAAAGTAAACAAAAAACATACTTGGTCAGAATTTGACAAATTAATAACAGATCAATGTGACTTTATGGTACAGCCGTCTCGTCACGTCGGCTGAGTTAAGGCCTGACTTAGAGAATTTATAGTGCCTGCATCCATTTGACTCACAGAACTTTCACTCTGGCGCTTTTTCCATTTCCATTAGATCTGGAGACTTGTGAGAGGTGAGGAATTAAATGGAGGTGTTCGGGGAACCTGACAGGTACATGTGGAGCAAATTGGTATAATTTCTACATTCTTTGCATGATTTTAGGAAATATTAACAGCAGTGAGTCACCACACAACCGTAATGCTTTCTCCAGGCAGAATTTATAGAAGCAGAGGCTGCTGTGGGTTGGAGGCATCGGCATGCCATTTTTCGTATGTGACAAAAACAGTGAGCAAGAGAGAGTGGGGGCCAGTGAACTAATCTAAGACTGTAGTATATATTATTATTTATACTGTAATATTCTTATCTTGACTGTTTAAACCAGTACTTCTCAAATAGTGGGGCAGGCCCTCCTGTGAGAGGCAACGCGAGGTGCTGGGGGGCGTAAGGGGCGCCCAGTGGAATATGGCATGCAGGACATAAGTGTACCACTGCTATAATGCTTGAATGATAACAAGCCTCCAGTCACTAGGTGGCAGCAACTCATATTTAACATTTTTACAGAAGGCAGTTATCGCGTGGTATTCATTAGGAATTTGGATTCAAATTCCAAAATGGGGTGTCTACAAATTAGAATATTTACCAACAATATTACCAACAGTAATAGTAATAACACAAGTACAATAACATCCATATACTCATAAAATGTCTATTAATAATTATTGTTATTAATTAGTATTTCTTAATTAATTAAATACGGCACTTGAGGTGTTTGTGAACTCATAGCAAATTAGTAGGTGGTCTGTTGACCAAAGCAGCATTTTTGAGCTTGGAATAGAAATAATGATTTAGATATGTATGTTTTTGTTGGGTACCATCGTACCTGATGTTAGTGGTACAGCCCTCTTTTTTTTTCCTTCGAAGACGTAAATAAAAGCCAGACTTGAGTTCAAAAAGAAATATTTTAATTGTGAAAGTATCAGAAGAGTGTAGTCAGCAGTAAGTATGAGCAGCTATGGAGAGTACACAAGCAGTATGGGAGGGATGGGAGTGGGCACGGTGAGTCGCAGTGTCGAAGCAGGACTGGGTTTAAAAATGAATTGACCTTTAATTTCTGCAGTAAAATCTGCAGCAAAAACAGAAAAGCACGGCTGGAGTGGAGGTAATTACCACCAGCGCCTCCACGAGTCCACACCTCTGCTGCCGGTAGTTACATCACGGCTGTCATGGCTGACACTTTTGCACTGGATGCAGTTTTTGCTCATTAAGCTGTCAGGCCGCAGTCAGATTCTGCTTTCGCCCAATTTAATTTTTCAAACTCGCAGCCAGTCTCATTCTCCGCAGCTTTATAAAGTGTAGTACGGAGTAAATGAGAAAGTGTGGAGCCGTGCAATAAACACTAAGTGGAACGGAAGCTACGTCACATGTAATTCCACTCCGACTGTCATTCCGAGAAAAAAAGCCGGTGTGAACGTTGGAGAGCAGGCAGTTGAGGAGATCAATTTGTCTAAAATGTTTATTTAATCTGATAATAAAGTATACTTAAAATCCAACTGCACCAGTCAGGTCTATTATACGTCTAAATAAGTGTATTTAATGTGTAAAACAGAGCTGTTTTACATAGACTATAATAAGAATAACAGAATGGAGCACTAATCGGTACATATCAGAACGAAATTCTGTTGCAACGGCCCAAATAGATTGCATAGAAATATGTATGTATGAATATACATTATGTAACTGAATTATAATTGAAATTTCGCATATTAGTACTGGTACGACATACCACGCTGACCATGATTCAGAAAGGGTAAACATATATGTAAATAATATAAAAACTATCTATCGGTCGGTCTTGGGATGCAACTACCGCGATAAGAGAGGGATCACTGTATTATTCATATAAAATACTTGTGGAAATTTAGGTTACACCAACGACCCAGAGGACAGGGAGGAGGAACGATCCAGCAGAACTGATGAAGACTCTTGGATGAGAGGCCAAACGTCTTTAATTTACTTGAGGTGAGTCCAGTTGCCTACTTTTTTAAAACTGCTTTTGAGAATACACATATAATATTTCAAAAATCCACCTACGTGTGTGAAATGCTGCAATGACCTTCCAGTGTAAACACAATTAAAAGTCAGGATTTTATCAAACTTTTTTTTTCATAACTCCAAGAATGTGACACTTTACCTCTGAGAGTTGTGAAAATATGTCTTCACATTCATTTGACATTTACGATGAATACATTTGGTAAATGAAACCCAAGCTCGGTGTGAGCAGATGGTGGACGTAAGAAAAAAAGCAGCTCGTATATTTGTAGCATAAAAAACATGCTAGACCAATTCTGCAACGTTTTATGACGGAGTTTTCTTCTTCTTTTCCTTTCGGCTTTGTCCCTTTTTTCAGATGTTTTATGACGGAGTATTCAAATAACATTATGAGACTAAAGGTGAGGCAACACTGCACATGAACTTGAACTTCTCAAAAACTATTCAAAAATTATTCTTATAAACCTTCAACGTTATTCTCATGAATAACTGTATGACTTTATTCTCAGAATTTTTGAATTTTTTTTCTTCAGTGTGGCCCTTACAGAACTGTTTAATAAATATTACATAAATGTCAACCCCTTTACAAATATTTGCTGACACAAAACATGATTCTAATTGTGGTGTTTTTGGCTTGAGATTAAGTTTTTATTTTAATGTGTCTGTAATTACAGGTTAGAAGATTGGAGATTTGCTCGAGAAAACAAATGAATAGCATAGATGTGAGTCAGACATTCTGCACTTTTTTTTACCCCGAAAATCTAATTAATTATACTGCAGTCGTCACTGGTACTCATGCATTGATAAAAATATCCCTTCAGTCTCCTCTGATTCATCGTATTAAAATGAAAAGGTCAGAGTGAACTCGACATTAGATAACTATATTTATTCACTTTATCTTTCATTTCAGAGCATTTCTACCACCAGATGTTTCCATTCTGTGCACTTGTGAAAGCATCATATCATATCAAACCTTGGTTAAAGTTTTGCATCTTTTGGTCATATTTTAAAATATTCAGATATGATGGTTTCTGGAGTTTTTAGCACTTGGCAGCATGTTTTGCAGCATAAACTTGCATTTTAAAGTATTTCTGGGACTTTTTATTGTTTTGCATTTTTTTTGTGTAGGTAAGGCTATAGTTAGGCATGTTTTA